CGCATTGAAATTCTGCACAGTTTCCGTACGCGCGCTGCACCCTGCAGCACCGGCCCGCGCTCGACGGCTGGCGGCGGTCGGCAGAAGCACATTCCGCGGTGGCGCGCCCCGACTTTTCAACCTCTCGTCGAGATCGCGTCCTAAGCGAAACAAAATTCCTAACAGGATAACCGGTAAAGCTCAAAGGAGAGCACCGGTAAAGCTCGCATGCCAGACCTACAGGGAATTTTTAGTATTTCTGACAACTTCAAGCGTTCGCTATCTCTCGTCTGTGATTTATTTTAGTTAAATGAGATATGTAGACGGAATTCGAAAGATGGAATATTGTATGTTATACGCTTTTTTAACGTTGAATAATTGATAGAAGAAATATGTTTTGAAACGGTGTGCTTTATGCCAAAATAATTCTATATGAATGCTTTAGTAGATTATTTAATATGTTAAATGTGTCACTCACATCATACAGTGCGCACAGTTTTATATCATCCGAATCGTTTTTCTCTCGTATTTTGTCTTAGTTAAGTTAGATTACTAACACTATTCCTACCGGGACCGGTCAAATGACCGTTTTTGATTTTTTGATTAGTATTTTTCATATCAAACGTAATTGAATCGTCATCAAACTTTATGACTTTTCCTTATATGTGAGTATGATACGTTTTTCAATGTTAATTTGTTTTTTCAATTTTTATTTTTGGAAAAAAAATTGTATGCTGTCTTACCTACCGCGGCCGGTCATTTGACCGGTAGTACGAAAGACGATGTTCGGATGGGATTTTTTGTAGTAATTGTTAAGAATATTTTAGAACTTACAAGAAAATGTAAATTCAGAAGAATTTAGACTGGTAAAAACTGCCTTCTGCAAATTTATATGCATTTTTTTCGATTCTGTATGCGCGCTGCGCAAATAAGGCAAGGAGTATAAATATTGCATTTCTACGGTATAAAAAGTGAGTTTTCTCAATTTTCTCAATGTCTATGTATAGACAGATTTTTACGAAGGAATCTAAACAATAAATTGATAGGTTTTGTTTTGAATCCAAAGGTTGGTTCAACTACATTGACAGCAATCAAAATTGTTGTAAAAGACTACGTATTACTATCGACAAACATATATTTTCAATAAAGGTAAGGTGTAAATTCATTCAACATATGTTCAATAGTATTTAGGAAAACGTATAAATATTAGTAACCGTTCAATATACGATGTAAATATAATTATGCCCTGCAAATCGCACAAATGGGGTGTAAAATTTTGGTAACCATCCAGTATACGTAGCAAACTGAGATATTCTTTGAAGATTTATAACTGATGAAACCGTATTATCAAAATTGCTAGTACGACATAAAAAATATATAACGTTTTTACCATCCTACATATAGCTAAACTTTTAGTAAAAGAAAACTGATGGTAGGTACAATTGAAGCAATATAACAGCTATAAATACTGGCAGAACGAAAAATCAAAGACTTCAATACTCAAATAATATTTACAATTTTGGAAAATAAGAAAGAAGATTCTAATTTTCACTGACATACACATATGTTGAAAAAATTACACTAATACGGGAGTTATTTCAATTGGTATTAGCGTCGGGACTGGTGTAGATGCCATTCATAAAATAGTCAGAAATCATTTGGTAAAATATGAATTTTTGAGAGAATTCATCAAGGATTTACATTATTTTGGATTTATTCAGAATAAATCCATTGTTGTTACATAAAGAAATTACGAGAAGACAATGTACAAGGCAGGAACTTTCTTTTCCAATTAACTTGCCGTATAGTTCCAACAAGAATTCAGAAAAAAATCAACTAAGTACAAGTACAAAACAGATTCCCTAAAAGAAACTATTCCAGATAATGCTTTAGAAAAATGATAGAGAAAACAAAATCAGCCAAAAACGTAAAAAATGCGTGTGCAGAAAATACACTCTAAGAAAAAAAATCGTGAAAAATTGGATAAAACAGTATAAAATGTAGAATTCGCATTATAAAATAAAAGAAATATATTGTATTTGTATTTATAAACTCTTAAACTAGCATTAATTCTTCATTCAATACTGAAAAATACCGATTTTGCATGACCGGTCATTTGACCGGTCGCGGTAAGAATAGCAAACATGAAATGTCGGTAGGAATAGTGCTAAATACATTTTTTTTAATAATTTTATTTGATCATCTATCTACAGGAGATATAAAATCAATTGCATGACTTAGAATTTAACAAAGAAAGAAAAAGCTAAGATCTGCATCCAGTGATGCAGTTCTTTACAGTATGATATATAGATAAGATTACTAAATACATCACAGCATATACATGTCACATAAAACCAAACTAACTGCTAGTAAGTAAGTACTAATGTTTAACTTACAGGAAAATAACAAAGTGATCTATCTGTACACAATCAACAGTTATTATCAAAATAAATCGAACAAAAAACTTTCTTTTAACTAGGGGCACAACTAGTGTAACCGCCAAAAAAGGTGATTTTTGAGAATTCATATTAAAAAAAATACTTTATCAATCATTTCAACACTTTAAGAATATATTTACACATGTTTTAAGAATACATAGTAAAATTTCTGAAGAAAAAAATTAAATATTTTTTAAGTTATCGTCGATCTTCAACGGCACGAAAAAAAGGCCCTTCACTGCTGCAGTCATTCCGGCCTTTTACCTGGATGAAATTTAAAAAAAAAATCTCATTAAACTAGATATTAATATTGTCTGTAAAATGACCTACGATAAAAAAAATAATCAAAAATTGACAAAATGGCGGCGTTTCAAAAACAAAAGTCGACTTTTACCCAAAATTTTGGTCATTTTTGGACTGCCAAAATTCGATTTTTGATCCTATGAAAAAATCGATAATTCATTCTACGGAGAACTATATATAGAACATGTAAAAAAAATGATCATTTGTTTTTGAGTAATCGCAGCAGCAAATCCCGAAAATGCTGTTTCGAGTAGAACGCATTTAAAGAAAAAATGATCGTTATACTATATACTATATATATATATACTCTTTAAATGGCTGTAACCTAAACTCAAAATCTATTTATTATATCGAATTAAATTCTTGGTATGTTATTAACTTCCCGTAGGGCAAGTTATAGTAATCGCAAAAAAATCGAAAATGAAAATTTTTATATATCTTTACGTTTCAAAGGTTTCTGAACATTTTGGCATACCTTAGAAAAAATGGATGTATGTGTGTGTGTGTGTGTATGTGTGTGTGTATGTGTGTGTGTATGTGTGTGTATGTATGTACGTGTGTGTATGTATGTGCGGATACAAATTTTCGTCGACGATTTCGGGAACACGGATCAACCGATTTGAATAATTCAAAAAACATTCGATTCGTATTGATAAGGAGACGTGCTGATTAGTTTTTGGCAGAGGCAGGTCTAGCCGTTCCGAAGATACGGGGCAAAAAGTGCCGAAAACGGTAACTCAGTTTTTAAGAGAACGGAGCGTCCGATTTGAATAATTCAAAAAACGTTTTACTTGTATTGACAAGATGAAGAATCGATAAAATTTTCATAAAGGTAGGTCTAGCGGTTTCGGAGATATGGAGGCAAAAGTAAAAAAATGAGCCATTTGGCGGTCAAAAATGATCATTAGACATATGCACATCAAATTATCAGATATTTTATAGAGATTTTAACAATAAGTATGAATTTTGTTTACATTCCTATGGGTTCCGTATCAATGTTTACCCGTTAGACAGCGACGCGGCGCTTACGCGCTTTATATTTTGTCTCTATGCAGTTAAAGCAGTACGATTGCTTTGAAAAAAAGTTCAGATCTTCCACAATATGTGAAAATAAAGAAAAATTTTTTTTTCAAAAAAAAAAACAAAAAAAAAATTAAAAAAAAATTTTTTTTTTTAAAAAATTTTTTTTCAAAAAAAAGTAATTTTTTGTCCAAATTATAGTTTCTCAAAAATCTTATTTTTTCAAAGTAATTTTTTTTTTCAAAAATGTTAATCGTTTTTAAAATAATAATAATTTTTGGTACGGGAAGTTCCAGCAATTTGCCTTAAGGCGCGATGCCTTAATTGCCTTAAGACAGAATTCCACTTACAGCTAGTTTTTAAACTTATCGAAATATGGAAAAATTGAAAATTCGATTTTTTGAAAATTTCACACTAGTTGTGCCCCTTAAAAGCAATGCGGTCTACACATCAGGTTATAGTAGGGCGCTAACTCAATGCAATTATATAAACTTCTTCAAACAGACAAACTTCATCCTTCTCCCTTTGGATACTATTTCAAAATCAGTATAGTTTAGTTGTTGTGACGACTGTCACTACCGTACCTTGGCACAACCGTACCCAGTTCCCTATTATTGTGAATGCATGATGTAGGCATATGCGCACCCTAACCCGTGTATAAAACTTGCTCGTATGTAATTGTGTGAGTTTTTCAATTTCTATGCAGAATACTTTAAATTTGAAATATTCACTTATAACCATATTTCATCCGTTTGTGTACACGACGGCGGATGTAACGCCAACTATTCGTGCTCAATAGATTTTGTGCAATTCTGAATTATCGCTTTTTGTGCAACTGGAGCGTGCTATGTTTGCCAATTGCAGATATTTTTAGTATTTATCTATTCTTATTATTACATAGATTTAGCATATTTTTAGTAACGACTTTTTTGCCAAAAGTTAAATAAGTACATGGGTAATTCAAAGTTGATATTGATTTTGAGTTGTTTACGTTTATTTGGTTTTGTATAATATGATGATGTGATTATATTAATTATAATGATAGATGTATACTATATGCTGACGTTTGTGTTAATAAATAATTGTTTATGCACGGATATTGTATTGAAATTAGTTTGCATATGCACTATGAAAACTGCAACAATATTGATCTCACTTATTCAGAATTGTTTTCTAGTTGTTTCATTCAAGTTCGATGTATATATTTATTTATGCATATTTCAAATTTAAATTATTATTAATATTATTGATTTATTTCAGAACATCCTCGACAAGTTCAACCCTGGAGCCAGACAGCTAATTAGTGCTGGTAAAGCATACCTGAAGGCGTTGCATGGTAAGTGTTTTTTTTATTTTATATTACTCATATTACTAATAGCAAATATAACATAAAATAATTAAAAATAAATATCTATATGTCTATAACATCCGCGTTAATTTCCAGTAGTCAGATCTATAGATACCTAAAGTAAGATTTTTTTTATTTATTTCTATGGTTTAGTGTTAGTTAACTCAGTCATTTGTAGAGGCTATAAATTTCTGGGAATTGTTTTACCTATTTTAGGCATTAGTTTGAATACCTTGTAAAAACGTTGATAGATTAAATGCAGGGACTCGATAAATTGCAATTGAACAAAAACTCGTTCTTTGTTCCAATACTTGTTTTATGAAAATTATTACATTACTGAATTTTTCCTTATCTTTGACTGGACCAATTCCGAAGAAATAGCAACATTTCATGTGATCCCAAAAAATATTATGTAACCTAGTAATATACTTGTCATAAAATAATGCTAGTTCGTAATTATACAAAATTATGAGATAATATTTGTCGCTTTCGCTGGATAATTCACCTGTTGTACTAAAACGCGGCACGGAATCCATAAATAATGCAGTACGATTCTACAAATCTCTATTGTTGTAATTACTGCGATAAATTTCTCGGCATAGAGGAGACCGCGGACTATAAATAATGGTGTTAATGTCACTACGATAATGGTCGTGTAATGCTCACTATCAATTGTTGTCGTTTTGACTAGGATATCTATACAGGGACAGATTTGGGAGAGGATTAATCGTTGACAACCTTGCATTCATGATTTTTCCTTTTAACTATACTTTCGAATCGATAAATTCAAATTGTGGGCTTTAAATTTTAAAGAAAAGATAAAGAGCTTGATTTCTTAGGAGTCTTAGAACATATATTTTCCTCAATATATAATTTTTCCACTAGTATGTACTTCAATATTTATCTACTAGGGTTTATGCAAACTTTTAGAAAATTTGTTTTGAAATAGTATTTTTTGGAGTATTTTTAACCAGTTAGGTGCTTGAAAGCAGTTTTTGATTGAAATTATACACTGCTCAATTTTATTGATAATAATTTTTATGCAAATAATTTCAAAACAATTAATTAGTCCTTGCATACATAAACTCTTATATATTCGAACATTGAAGACCGGTGTTTTGCACTAAAAATCATATTATGAATTCCTTAATTTTGTCTTTGAACCGGTTTTTAAGCCGGTTTTGATAAACCCGACAACCCTTAATCTCTATTAATTTTGTAATACGTTATATATGTAATGCTTATAGAATACTGAAATATTATTATAGATATTATTATAGAATATATAATATTATAAATATTATATAGAATTTTTAATATCTGGGTAAACAAGAACAAAATTTCAAAAAATATATTTTGACATATACCTTTATAATTCACTTGAAGTTACTCATTTTTAATTAAATCGTGTATTTATTTATCAATAGTCATATTAATCATACTTTTTCATTACAATTTCATTCTTGAAGTTTATAATTGAAACATTCCCCAGATTTGATACTAAAACACAATTTTGATTATGATTTTAATAAATGCAATGTCACAACTAATCTTGAAATGGAATTGAGATTAATTGCATAAAGTGCCTGCCACAGAGTTTGAAATCAGATAGTAAATCCGATCGCATGTGACACACAATGGAAGATCAGTACGTGATATATTCTTAAGCTTCCAAATGTGTATATTATATATATATATATATATATATATATATATATATACAATTGAATAATAGACTCAACACAGACAGTAATAATAAGCTCAAAAGATAAGGTTGCATTAAATTGCAAGAGGTAGTGCATAAAGAAAATCGTAGGCACCTAGTGTGCAAATATGTAAATGAGTATCTATTACAATGATATGGAGCAAATTTACATATCTAACAAGTTTTAATAATTTTTGCTGGCTAAGAGCATTTCGCAAACCGTACTTAACTTTCAAGTGTATGAAATGTGTTTTTTATTCCTCTGTATAATAATGAAAATCCGTGGATGGAAATTCTACTATACTTTGCATTATGAATTTATGATGTCCATTATGATAATATAGCGTACCGCAGCGCAAATAAACCAGCATAAAATTTGGATACTGCATTCATTGAATTTAGTATCGGTGTTAATTAATTTTATTCAGTCGCTGTAATCATAAATAAATTATGCCCAGAATGATTGTAAAATATATGTTTAATAAATGCACAAATCGTGCTGATTTTTCAGAGATGGATAAATCAAATTTCTATAACCGGTTTCACTTGGACAGAAGGCTTACGTAGAAAAATCATATAATGAAAAAACGTTTCCAGCTTGAAGAGAATTTCAGAAAACTTTACTGGCTGTTGGGTCCGAAGTCCAAACTATCCACCTACAACAAGCTTCTTGAATACAAAGTCATATTAAAACCAATCTGGACTTACGGCCTTTCTCTCTGGGGTAGCGCCAGTCGATCTAATATAAATATCTCACAGAGAGCTCAGAACAAGATCCTCAAAAATACTAGAGGCTCCCATGTATGTACCTGATTGGCTTGTTCATCAGGACTGCAACCATCCAAATGAACTAGCAAAGGACCTACTTTCTGCGAACACTGTCAAGAGACTAAGAAGATTAGATACATTAGACTTAGTGTAGTTATATATTTAGTATAGTGCTTGTAATCATTCTCATATATTTATATTTATTATTTGTTTGCAATTATTGTCACATATTTATATTTATTATACTAACTTGAAATACTACCAATGGGTTGTATTTTAAAATCTTATTTAATAACTAATCACAACAATTACTGAATGCCTTTTCAGGCAGTTGTAGTTTGGCTAAAAATAAAAAATAAATGTAAAACAGAAATTCGGCCCCTAAAAGTTAAAAATTACTCATAACATTTTATAGTAAGATATCTGAAAAGTTTGGTTTGATTTTCTGTGATTTAACTTGGCATGGCAACATGGTTGATAGTCAAACTGAACACCTGAAAATTTTATAGGCCTATGAATAGTAGTTTAATTATAAAAATTAATTGAAGTGTTAATAATTTACACTCATTACAATAATTAAATGAGAACTAAAGGCAGATAAGAGGACACTAAATGTCTATATGAATTAAATTATGTATTAATGTTAGGATATTACATATCATAACATTAAGTTAGAACTGGATATTATCTTTTTCCAAATCGATTCTAAGGAAAAACTTTCAGAGAAAATAGATAAGAATATTTCATATTGTACAAATGTCCCCTATCATAAACGTTTTAACATCGGTTTGCACAGAGAAGAAATGATACTATTAGGGGATGTCAAGCAATATATTGTATGAGATTCCAACGATAGAGCTAACATAGTGAATTATATGACCAATTCTAAAAGCGTAAGAGTATTAAATAGGATCTAGGGATAGGACAAAGTTAATGTCGCAATTGTCTCTCTTTGAACCTGCTCTTTACTATATTTTAGTTTTTATCTCTTTTGTAATAAGGCAAAGTTAATCTTTATTGGGTTATTGGACACAATTTATAGCGAAACTCTAGCAATTACAGTACTTGTATCAGGATTATATGATTTACATCTGTAATCGGAACTGTAGAATATATATCATATGAAAATTTAATAACTATAGGTTTGAATGAAAATCCATATTTATCCAGAATTCATAGCTACCACAATTATACAGAAATGTATTTTTAGTCATTTTTATATATAAATAATATATATTATAGAAGCAAGATCTGAAGCTTCTCATAGGCCTATAATATTTTATGGTGTTCGGTTGTTTAACGTTGTTTCTACAGGCTATGCCATTCTGATTTTTTTGTAACAAAAAACAGTTCATTGAATAGTTCATAAAATACGCTATATAGGAGTCGTTACGTTATAATCTATGAATCCTTTACAAAATTTAAGAAAAAAATTTATAAAAGCATTTTCGTGTCTTATTTCTACTTATTACTCTTAGCTTTGCGGTTCGAAAATAATAAATCATATACTTTACTAAGATTAATCGCAAGTTTTTAATGGAGTTCTCACTAAGATAAATACACCTTTAGCTAAAACATTGTATAATATTTTTCTTCAATAATTTTATAGATATTTTTAAAACGTTACTTTCTAAATATCTTGGTACGAAAATAAGGTTTATTGGTTTTATTGTTTTGATGTGTTTATTTCTTTGCGAAGAATTAGTAATTATTCGCAAAACATATGTCAAACGAAATATTTTTGCAATAATAATAAATGAATATAGGAACTATGAAAAATAAATCAAACTAAATATAAATTATCATAAAATCCTTTACGGTTTGGTGTACTGCTACCACCAGTTTACTTGAGAAAGAGTTGTTATACAATTCGATATTTATTCTAAATTATCATATAACTTCACGAGACATAAAAATCGTATATTTCTGCAGTATCTATAAACACAAATTTTAAAAATGTACTCTGGTCTCTATGATATTTTATATTTTATTACAAAACTTTCGAATATCTGCTACAGAGCAACGTCCATAAGTAATTATTGTTATCGTACCGTGACCGCAGCAACGTTGGCGGAAACAAAAATTTACTGATATTTATTTCTTGAGAAAAAGAAATGAACCTTGATAAGAAATATCGATATCTTTTATGAATATTACATTTGAGAGGAAATTCATGATATTCGCTCCGGTTTCATGGCCCGAGGGGAAGATGCATCACGAATGACATCGACGAAGATATTTGATTCTTGAAATATTGAGTTGACTAGAAAAACGTTATATGATCTTTGAGAACTTAAGGAAATGGAAATATATAAATTACTTTCGAATATATTACACTTTCATCATTATTAGTAGCTATTAATTATTACTTTCAACTAGAAAACGATAATAATATAGACCAAGAAAAAAAAGTGGATGATGCTTATTATTTGTCAAACAATACTATTAGTATACTGTAGTGTTAAAATGTTATTTTCGATTACGATTCCAAAATTTAAATAATAAGGATTAACCA